GTGAAGGTTGAACCTAAACAAGAGGTGAAGAATGAGTCCGCTTCACCGCGCCAGCCGGGTCGACCAACCAGGTCGTCGGAGACACCCGTAGCTCCAGTAGCGCCTGCAGCCGCAGTGCCACGCGGCGGCGGCGCTGATGCGATGGCGAACGCCCATATCCACGGCGAGGCACCTTCGAGCGCGCACCGTGGAAGAAGCGCTGCGGGCGAGGGCGCCAGGCAGCAGATCCTGCATTTATGGGCGGACCCAGGGTTCTCTGATATTGCAGCTTCTGCGCGCGCAATTGCAGTGGATCCAGAAGCGCCGCCCCCTGCCGATGACTTGCGCAGCGCCGGCGCGGCCCTCATTCAACGCCCCCATGCCACCCTGGAGCAGTGGCACGAGTTGCACTTGACGGAGGAGGTGCACCACGCTCTGCTCGCCGTTGCGTTGAATGTTGCGGAGATTATTCCATGGCGGCCGCATAATGAGATACTGACCGCCCGCCTGTTGCATTTAACGGTAGTGGGTACGATGCGCGCCCATGATAATGGAGTGTATTCCTACAACCACGGCAGATGGTCCAGAATAGAGGAATTTAGTGATAAGACATTGCGAGACATGGAGTACGTGTTGCAGCTGGCTTCTATGATGTTTCGGCATCTCCATTCCGAGCAGGTTGCGCGAAGCTGGGATGCAGTGTTCAGCTCGCTGGAACCCATCCACGGAGAGATCGAACAGCTGCCGCCGACGACGCGACGCGATTTCCTGATCGGCAAGGACATCGGCGTCGTCTGGGCGGCCGAAGTGGGGATGGTGCTCCAGGAAATGGACACGAGATTCAGCGGAAGAGGAAGGGGCGCTGAACTTCTGGATGCATTGAGCGCTTACTTTCAGGAGCCGCGCCCTGAACAGGCTGCCCGCGTCGACTTTGAGGACGCCACTCTTGCGCTCGCAGAAGATGCGGGCGGAGGCACCCGAGTCAGCCAGGTACCCAAATCGGAGGACAACAATTGCTACATGGCGATGCCCATGCAATTTTTCGTGACAGTTCCAGACTGGGCCGTGAACGAGCTTATGCTCTTCATGACTGCAACGTTTGCTGGTTGCCCCGAGGCCCGCAAGCTGGACATGGCCATGGAGGCAATAGTCATGCACACTGTAGACCTGCCCCACGTTCAGCTTCTCATAACTGGCAACGGCGGGAACGCGAAGTCCGCGCGGACACTTCTTCGGGGAAACGTGTGGGGCACCATGCACAAGGTGATGTCTGCGCTGGCGTTTCAGAAGCCAGAGGAGTTCGGAAAACAAGGCTGCCACTTCGCGCATGCCAGGCTCATCACTGTGCAGGAGTGCTCGCCAGGCACCCCTCTAGAGGAGGACGTATGGAAGTGCTGCGTGGCTGGTGGTTTACTCGCGTGCCGACCCCTCTTCGGGAAGACCACGGCGTATCACCATTGGCTGAAGTGCGGCAAATTCTGGGAATGCAACCAGGTATTTTGGAAAATCCCAGGTAACCCGCATAACGTCCAGTCGCTGAAGAGCTTTTGGAGGCGCCTCCGCGCGCTCCAATTAGCAGGGTCATTTACGAGCGATACCAACGAGGTCGACGTCGAGAGATAGATCTTCCCAGAAGACAGCGAGCTTTCTAGCTTCCTCCAGGGGTCCTATGCCAGAGTTGCGTACGTCCAATATTTTTTGATGCCGTTCATCCAGCGGTTTTCTGCTGCAGATTGTCGATCAATTCTCCTCAACCCGCCTGCCAATATCATGGAGTTCACCAAGCAGGTCGTGGCGCAGATGGCGAACGGCGGGCTGGAGCTGCCTGACGGATTCAAGACAGATGCAGCAATGAAACAAGAAGTCGAAGCTGCACGTGACCTCATGATCAGGGTTTACCGAGCTTCTGCAGACCGCTACATCAAGGCATATGATGTTCCGAAGCTCCAAATGGACCCGCCGATACCTGGTACATGGAAAACGTCCTCGAGGTCCGCTTCCAAATATGACAATTTCACTGCGGCGGCAGAGCTGTGGCCTTACCTGGCCAATCCACATGCAGTTGTATCTCCAGGGAAAGGTTCAGGCCAGTGCGCACATGAAAGATTGATGATCGACTTTGACAAGCTGGATGGCATCATGAAAAAGTACACCCGATCAGAATTTGGTGGGTCATTCAAGGACTGGGGCACGATGTGGCAGAATCGCGAGTTGATGTTGTCGACGATGGGCGGTGAGATCATGAATTTCCCAGTGGGCATGATCCATGAGGGTGAGTTCTCGAAGCAGACGTGTGGCCATCTCTTTGAAACTGTCAACGCGGCTTGCTTGCGAGACCACATTGAACGTGGCACGGACCGCAAAGCTGACGTAGCGCGGCGCTTCATTGAGTTCCTCGCGTCGCAGGGAAGCCGATCTGGTGATTACGTGACTGTGCGTGTCGAGTACTACCGGAGGCATGGCATTCCTGGGCGGCGGTACGCAGATTGTCCGAGTGCTCAGAAGTTGCCCAGAGCGGCTCGCAAGGTCGGGGTAAAGGGGGCCGACGACAGCGCAAACTCGAAGGTTTCTTCCAACGAGGAGGTCCACTATGCCTCCCCGAGCCAGGGTTTGGAGACGTCTCGGGCGAGAGGGGCGTTGGGGTAGGGGACCACCCATGTCACTCAAGTCCTTCTCGCTGCCGCTGCCCTGGCGGCGTTTGCGCGTCGGTCTCCGATTCCACCTACAAGGCGGCGTTCACGTTCGACGTTGCTTCTTCGGGTGGCGCTGGTTTCGTGTACATTGACGTAGACATAGAAAACTGTTTCCCGACGTTGCTCTGGAAGGAACTCATCGAGAATGTCGGAGACGCTGCGCGGACGGATTCCGACGCGCTGTACGCGTTCGTGTTTCACTACGGGGCGTGGCGTGCCGCTTTGGTCGATTACTTTGACATCCCGTTGAAAGCTTCGAAGAAGATGCTTATTTCTACTTTGCATCTGGCCGCTCCCATGGGCGAGTTGCCATTCCTCTGGGCCTTGTCTGCGCAGATCAAGCAGGCCGTCGACATCATCTTGTCGTCGGACAATTCCCAGCATTTGAACGACATGTTCGCGTCTCGTCGTCACCCCGTTGCATCGCGACTGCATTTCGCGTTGGCCAGCGCGGAGGATTCCATCGCCCAGCAGGCGGAGCTCGCAATGCTGAGAGACGTGGCAGACAGCGCCGTCATGACATACATGTTCGACGGGGCAGTTTTCCGCATCCCTGAGGTTTCGCTGGGCGCCGCGCGCGCCAGTCTTGACCGCGTTGCCCAGCGCGAAGGGGCGGCGTTCACGGCGGATGTATTTCAGCCTCTGGATGCGGAGGGCGGCGCAGGAGGCAATTCGTCTCGGAGCAGCGCTTCGGAGGCATCTGAGCTCACCGACATGTGCCTTCCGACTTGCTTTCAGAATTACGGCTTTCCTGTCGACGCGCGCAGGAGCGGCCCGTTCTGGACTCTGAAGGACGACAGGGGCGGGGGAGAGGGAAAGAGAGATGGTTAGAGGGACAGAGAAGGGATGGCAGGCTATATATCCAGAAATGGAGATTGAGAGGCAGGGCGCGATTTCAAGAGACATACAACTGCGAGGGAGACAAGGTGGGTCTTGTGGGTAGAGGGAGAGAGCGAGAGACAGAAGCAGCGAGAGAAATCATTGAGCGAGAGAAAGGGGGAGAGAGATACAGAGAACGCAACCATGAACGACATCAGGAACGACGGAGGGCGATGCAACGAGGGATGGCGCAGGAACGTTGAAGAGAGACGCATGGAAGAGAGAGGCGCACGTAGAGTTGGATCGCAGTTTTGTCAACGCCGCCTGGTGGCTTCAGATCTGCGCAGCCACAGGTCGAATGTAGGTCTGGTGACGATGTGCTCATGTTATTGTTGATCGCGCGCGTGTGAATGCGCGCTTGCACGCGCGATGGCCGCGCGCTTGTGCGTGCATGCCCATGTTTAGCGTCCCCCGCCAGGACGGAAACGGCATGCTCAAGCAGTTACAGCACGCATGCGCGCCAGTTCAGCGAGCTCATCTGTGGCGGGATGGGCGATACATAGTGCATGCAAATTCCCACTTCCAAAATGCGCTGGCGATGCACTGCGGCGAGGTTTGCTGCGTTGCGGATGGCGGGCGGTGCGAGCCATTGCTTCATGGACAGCGGCGCGCTCTGGTATCCAACGAGGACGTGCGACTTTTCAAAGTGGTTTCTTTTGCTGAGGCGTTTCCATAAAGGCAGTGGTGCACCTCCCGTGCTGTCGTCGATGGACGCGCTCGGCGGCGTCGGCGACGCCTCCAGTGCGCGCGGGCTTCTTGCCGCCAGCGCTACGCTCTACGTGGAACGCTGCGCCTACGATGCCATCGTGCGCGGCAGGAGGGCTGCGCAAACGACCGTGCACGGCTGCGACGCCCTCGCCAATGGCAGCCCCGAGGCACGTCCCAGCAATGACATGCGACGGCGTGGGACGATGGTTGCGCAGGAGTTCGACGCCGTTGTCGCGGCCGCCGACAAGTGCAGAAGAGGCAATGCTGCGAATCGTGTCAGACATATTTGCGCGGCACAGGCCTTCAACGACCTTGGTTGCCCTGTCGTTGCCAGCAGCGACGGCCCTTTCTGGACCATTGAGGACGGCTGCAGGATGCTCGATCAGTTCGGGGTTGGCGTTTCTCGGTTCAACGAGGCGAGCGCCAGCGCCGTGGGCAAATTCGTCATCGACGACGGCGAGGGACACGCCTATGCACTGATTGCAAGCGAGCGCTGCATCATCAGCTTCTGCTCTGGGTTCGCGGAGCTGATCACGACGCAGGAGCTCGGAGACATCGAAAACAACGCCCGCTCGCGGATCTTCTGCGTCTCCGACGTGGCTTGCGGCATCGGCGGCGATGGCGACAGCAAGTGCGGCGGCAAATATGATGCAAAGTAGCGCGGCAGTTGGCATGCGCCTAAAAAAGGGAAGAGTGCGCCCTGTCCGCAAGAAGTCGAAGGCGAAACGGGCGGCGGCGAAGATGTCGAAGCAGCCGAAGTGCGCCCCCTACGTCAGACATGGCACTCGCACGTCGATATATGATGGCCTTCGGCGAATGCCGCCACCGTGGAAGTGGCTCTTGTAAGTCCGTTTTGGGGTCTGGGTCGGACGCTTTGAGTCGAGAATACAATGGGAAGTGCTGGTACCTCGCCGTTTGCTGGACGTTGGTTGTTGATGCACCGCGCGCGAGTGAGCGCTGAAGAGTGCAAGGCCAGCGCGCCCCAAACTGCGCACGCATGCGCGGTGGCGGATCCAGGCCAGATCGATCGCGGTGGGCGGCTTCTCTCAAGGATTTCTTGAACCAGCCAATGAAGCAAGTGATTTCGAAGCTTAAGAAGGACAGCATTTTGCCCGAGTGGAAGGGCGTAACCTGCCCTTACTGCAACGTCGGCGTGCTGGGGCCGCTACAGAACTTCGGGCCGAAGAGGGGCGGCTGGAGCTATCGATGCGGGAGCCGCGGTTGCCGCCGCCACGTATTGCCCCATTCGTTACATCCAGTGTTTCGTGCGGCCACGGGCGCTTCCCATACGAGCTTGCCTGTCCAAGCGTCCATCCTCTTCTGCGCCGTGAGCGGTTGCACGGTTGCAGCCAAGTTCAGGCGCACAGGCTCGTTGGGCAGAACCATAAGCTCATAGAGAGCATGTACGCTAATCTGTATTATGTTCGGGCACGATACGTACTGGCGATGGAGAAGAAGATCAAATTTGGCCTTTCTGGCGAGTGGGCCGACGTCGAGGCAGACGAGGCCGACCTGGCCAAAGGAGAAGATCCACTTGCCAAAAGAAACGCAGATCACCCTATAGTTTGGGAACAGTGGGGCGGGATTGTGCAACGAGGTTGTCCGCGGTCTCTTGTGCTATTCAAATTGGGGCCAGAGAAGACGAAGAGGCGTGCACCAGGACCAGGCCCCATCAGGAAACGCGATTGGTGCCCGCTGGCAACAAAGTGGCTCAAGGGCCGCTCCGTCATTCTGCACACCGACGGCGCCAGATCATACAAACTGAAGGTGCCAGGTGTGACGCACGATTGGGTAGTGCACATGAAGAAGAGAGTGAAGATCAACGGTAAGTTCGTATGGATCAAACCACTGTTTTCGAAGGTGCGATACCACGACGTCCCTACTGCTTCTTCCGATGGGACGGCCAAGTAAACAAGGGTTTGGGTGAAGAGCGGTACTCAGATCATAGACCCTTGTTGGCGTGAGGTACGCAAGCACGTGGGGATTCAGAAAGTGGTTGGTAGCAAAATCCTACGAGACAAGATCCGCTCCGCACAGTGGTGTTATTGGAACTGCGGCTGTGATTTGTGGGCTGCCACTGGCGACGTGTTTTATCATGAGTTCGAGAGGACGCATCTTGGGTAGGACCTGTGAGCTTGGATCGGCGTTCTCTGTGCTGCCTCTCCGCACGCGCCACGCGCGTGTCCATGGATGTTTCGTTTGCAGGCACTCGCGCAACGAAAAAGATGGGTGCAGCAGGTCGTGAGCTTCTCTGCCGCCCGCAATTATATGGGTCTGCGTCGCTTTTGTATGTTATCCTATGCCATCTACGTCAATATTAGTGCTACGAATGCATTGTGTATAGCGTTGTGGACGCATCTGCAGCCCGTGAGCAATCGCATTCCGTGCGTGCAATGACGAGATACAAGTAGCGATTCACATGCAGGATCCAGCCGAACATGTGAAATACAAGTAAGCCATCACTAACGACCATCCACCCAAACAGACATGACAATCTTGATTATAGTTCCGCCATCGCGTCGAAGGTGGGGTGCTGGGGGGGGGTGCTAGCATACATTTATACATACATTCATACATACATACATATATACATACATACATACATACATACATACATACATACATACATACATACATACATGCCTGCAAATATACGTACATGGATACACGCATACGTGCAAACATACATACATGCATGCATGCATACATACATACATGCATACATATATGCAAGCATTCATATATATATATATATGTGTGTGTGTGCATGCATAAACGCATACATGTATAAAATACCTGCATATATGCATACACACATACATACACACATAGGCACATGCATACATGTGTATATCTATATATGTGTAAAGTTACTTACCCACAGTGTATACATGCTTATATACACACCTGGTCCCATGAATATATACTTATTGAACGGTACCCTGCGACCTCCCCCCTAATTTGACCCCCCCCCCGGTCCCTGGTCCCGGGAGGCTTTTGGACGCTCCATGACTTATCAACCAGGACTTCCAAGCCTTTGAGGATCCCTCCCAACCCGTACAAACGGCTCACCGGCGGTGCCAAGACGCCCCCAAAAGGTCCAAGAGGGCCCCGAGACGTCCCAGGAGCGTCCCAAGAGGGACCTAGATGGCCAGAAGACGACCCAAGAGGCCCCTAAGACGCCCCAAGAGGCCTTTAAAAGACCCCCCAAACACAAAAATAATCGCATTCCCTTCGGAAAACGTATACTTGTTGCATATACGCGGTGTGAATCGTAGCAGCGTCCAACACCGCCCACCAGGCCCCCAAGGTCGCCCCTAGACGGCCCAGGAGGCCCCCAAGAGCGCCCCCAGACAGCCCAAGAGGGACTGCCCAAGAGCGCCCCACCACGGCCCAAATAAGGCCCAAGAGGCCCCCAAAAGGCTCCCACGAAAGGGCCCAAGAGGGCTATGAGAGGCTTCCAAAGGGCCCAAGATGGCCCCAAGACGGCTTCCAGAAGGACCTCGCCCCCTCAGACGGCCCAAGAAGGCCCGAGGACGGCCTAAGAGGGCCCCTATAAACGGTCCAGGAAGCCCCCAAAACTACCCCCAGAAGGCCTCGAGAGGCCATATTCATTGATGGCCCATCAGGCCCCCAAGATTTCCCCAAGACGGCCGACTAAGCCTTCAAGAGGGCCCCCCGGCGGCCCAAGAAGGCCTCCAGACGGCTTAAGATGATCCCACGACGGTCACCAAAGCTCTAACCCTCTCCCCACACTCCCCGATAGGCCCAGGAGACCCCAGACGAGCCGGAAGCGTCCAAAATTAGCCTGGCGAAGAACCCAACCATATGCAGTTGTCAGTACCGCAGCTGCGGGTTTCATCTTCAATGGAACTCCCCATAGGATTACGAAACGTGTGAGGGGTGTGCCGAATTGGGTGCGGGTGGTGACGCATGCGGGCGGCAGCACTGGGGCCTTCGGTGGAGCTCCCCATGGGGCCACGAAACCTGTTGTTGTGAGGGGCGTGCCGGGATGGGTGGCGGGGACGCATGTGAGCGCGGCCGCTGGGGCCTTCGGTGGAGCTCCCTATGGGGCCACGAAACGTGTGAGGGGTGTGCCGAATTGGGTGGGTGTGGGTGACGCATGTGAGCGCCGCCACTGGGGCCTCCGGTGGATGATGGGGCCACGAAACCTGTCAGGGATGTGCCGAAATGGGTGTGCGGGACGCATGCGCATGTGAGCGCCGCCACTGGGGCCTTCGGTGGAGCTCCCTATGGGGCCACGAAACGTGTGAGGGGTGTGCCGAAATGGGTGTGGGTGACGCATGCGGGCGCGGGCACTGGGGCCTTCGGTGGAGCTCCCTATGGGGCCACGAAACGTGTGAGGGGTGTGCCGAAATGGGTGTGGGTGACGCATGCGGGCGCGGGCACTGGGGCCTTCGGTGGAGCTCCCTATGGAGCCACGAAACGTGTGAGGGGTGTGCCGAAATGGGTGTGGGTGACGCATGCGGGCGCGGGCACTGGGGCCTTCGGTGGAGCTCCCTATGGGGCCACGAAACGTGTGAGGGGTGTGCCGAAATGGGTGTGGGTGACGCATGCGGGCGCGGGCACTGGGGCCTTCGGTGGAGCTCCCTATGGAGCCACGAAACGTGTGAGGGGTGTGCCGAAATGGGTGTGGGTGACGCATGCGGGCGCGGGCACTGGGGCCTTCGGTGGAGCTCCCTATGGAGCCACGAAACGTGTGAGGGGTGTGCCGAAATGGGTGTGGGTGACGCATGCGGGCGCGGGCACTGGGGCCTTCGGTGGAGCTCCCTATGGAGCCACGAAACGTGTGAGGGGTGTGCCGAAATGGGTGTGGGTGACGCATGCGGGCGCGGGCACTGGGGCCTTCGGTGGAGCTCCCTATGGAGCCACGAAACCTGTGACGGGGTGTGCCGGTGCCCGCATGCGGGCGCGGGCACTGGGGCCTTCGCATGTGGAGCTCCCTATGGAGCCACGAAACGTGTGAGGGGTGTGCCGAAATGGGTGTGGGTGACGCATGCGGGCGCGGGCACTGGGGCCTTCGGTGGAGCTCCCTATGGAGCCACGAAACGTGTGAGGGGTGTGCCGAAATGGGTGTGGGTGACGCATGCGGGCGCGGGCACTGGGGCCTTCGGTGGAGCTCCCTATGGAGCCACGAAACGGTGTACTGGGTGGGTGAAGAGGAGAGGAGGAGAGGATGATAGGAGGGGAGAGGAGGCGGAGGAGGAGAGGAGGAAGGAGACGCGGGGCACCGTCTCTTCAAAACGAGGACCCAACAACACAGGTTGGTTGGGAAAAACATCTGCGACTTCCGAAGACCTCCGCCCCGGGATGATTTGTTACATCCCGACGGAAGACGGCAAAGGATCGAGGTTCGAGACTCGACGATCGAGGTTTTTCAACCGTTTGCCGTCCTTCGGAGCCTCCAGCGGTCTCGTCGTCGCATGGCAGGGTCCGCCTCGAGATTCCGGTCCAACGTAACCCAAGAATACTCCAGGGAGCCGGCCGCTGTTCAAGGCCAGGGCGGATGGGGCGAAGTGCCACATTGCACGAAGCTCGAAGGACCAAGGTGCATGGAGCGGAACGCCAATGCAGTCTTGTATATTCGTCACCGTGCCTATGGGCACGGAGTCGGCGCGTCCTCGGGTCCTTTGCCTCATACTCCGAGCCTCTGGCCTCAATTATGAGGATTCCTATCCTGAGGATTCTTAAAGTGTCCGGAGCCAAAATTGCCAGAACTACCAGGGCTTGCCACGCCGCGTCGGGGATCTGGCTCGTCTCCCCGCATAACTTGTTGGGGTCCAAAGGGGCCCCAAGACAGGCAAACATAGCCCCAAGAGACCCCCAGGAAGGTCCAAGAGGACCTCGACACGCCTAGAGATCGCTCCAAGACGCCCAAGATGGCCCCAAAACAGTCCAAGAGGCCTCCAAGACGCTCCAAGAGGCCTCCAAGAGGCTTCCGAAGAAGACCCCGAAAGGCCACTGTCGTAGATTTCTCGTGGGTGTTTTATGTATTCTTGGCGTTCTCGCCTTTTCGGCTTCCCGACGCTCCAAGACGGCCTGAGAGGCCCCCAAGATCGCCCCCAGACGGCCCAAGAGGCCCCTAGGAGGCCTCCAAGGCAGCACAGGAGGGCCCCGAGACGGCCCAAGAGCCGCCCAAGACGGCCCAAGAGGGCACCCAAGACGGCCCCAAGAGGGGCCCAAGAGAGGGACCACGAATCAAACATTCGAACCTTCCGCCTCAAGAGAACCCCAAGAGGCCCCCAAAAGACCCCAAGAGGCGCCCAAGGGGCCCCAAGAGGCGCCAAGAGGCCCAAAAGAGGCCCCAAGACGGCCCCAAAGAGGCCCCAAGAGGCTCTCAAGAGGCCCCCAAGCTGCCCCCACAAAGGCCCCCGAGAGCAATCCGAAGAGACCGCACGAAGTATCCCTGAGAACCCTGACCCAAAACAGAGGCATGGTGGTGGTATGGGCCGAAGGCCTTACATGGTCCAGGGTCTGGCCCCCCCCCCTCATGCTGATGCCATCGGCACCCCCACCCCGCGCGATGCCCCCTCCCTGTCGGTGTGGTGCGGTGCTGTGGGTGTGGCGTGTGTGGCGTGGTACTGTAGGCTCCAGGAAAGCTCCAAAAGTCGTCGTCGTCGCCGCCGCCGCCGTCGTCGTCGTCGGAGGGCTCTGGAGGTCGGCGGCGGCGACGCCACCGCCGCCGACGCCGCTGTCGTCGTCGTCGTCGCCGTCGTCGTCGTCGTCGTCGCCGCCGTGATCGTCGTCGTCGTCGTCGTCGTCGCCGTCGCCGTCGTCGTCGTCGTCGTCGTAGTCCCCCATCCCATCAGGAGGGGGGGGGGGCGAGGGGCCCTGAGACCCATCTGATCTTGGGGGGGCGTGTGCCCGAAGCCCGAGATCATACATACATACATACAGACAGGCAGACATACATACATCAATCCGTCCATCCATCCATCCATACAGGAAGACAGACAGAGAACAGACGTGCATGCATGCAGAGGTATCTAGCTATAAATCGGCCTCACGATGTATCGGTCTCACTGTGTACAGGTTGACACCACAATCCGTTCATCTACATTTATATATAGTGTTTGCGGATTGACCCCTCAGTCCGTGAATTGATTTATGTATATATATATATATATGTATATATATGAGTAGATGTATGAATGTTAATAAAAATTAGCCTGGCGAAGAACCCAACCATATGCAGTTGTCAGTACCGCAGCTGCGGGTTTCATCTTCAATGGAACTCCCCATGGGATTACGGAACGTGTGAGGGGTGTGCCGAGATGGGTGCCACTGGGGCATTCGGCGAAGCTCCCTATGGGCACATGAAACACGCGCAGGGCGTGCCGACATGGGTGGCGGAAACGCATGTGCGGGCCGCCACTGGGGCCTCCAGTGGAGCTCCCTATGGGTCCCCGAAACATGATGCTGCTGCGGGGGGGGGGGGCGGGATGGGTGGCGGAGACGCATGTAAGCGCCGCTACTGGGGCCTTCGGTGGAGCTCCCTATGGGGCCACGAAGCGCGTGAGGGGTGTACTGGGATGTGTGGCGGGGACGCATGTGAGCGCCGCCACTGGGGCCTTCGGTGCAGCTCTCTATGGGGCCACGAAACGTGTGAGGGGTGTGCCGAATTGGGTGCGGGTGGTGACGCATGCGGGCGGTGCCACTGGGGCCTTCGGTGGAGCTCCCTATGGGGCCACGAAACCTGTTGTTGTGAGGGGCGTGCCGGGATGGGTGGCGGGGACGCATGTGAGCGCGGCCGCTGGGGCCTTCGGTGGAGCTCCCTATGGGGCCACGAAACGTGTGAGGGGTGTGCCGAATTGGGTGGGTGTGGGTGACGCATGTGAGCGCCGCCACTGGGGCCTCCGGTGGATGATGGGGCCACGAAACCTGTCAGGGATGTGCCGAATGGGTGTGCGGGACGCATGCGCATGTGAGCGCCGCCACTGGGGCCTTCGGTGGAGCTCCCTATGGGGCCACGAAACGTGTGAGGGGTGTGCCGAAATGGGTGTGGGTGACGCATGCGGGCGCGGGCACTGGGGCCTTCGGTGGAGCTCCCTATGGAGCCACGAAACGTGTGAGGGGTGTGCCGAAATGGGTGTGGGTGACGCATGCGGGCGCGGGCACTGGGGCCTTCGGTGGAGCTCCCTATGGAGCCACGAAACGTGTGAGGGGTGTGCCGAAATGGGTGTGGGTGACGCATGCGGGCGCGGGCACTGGGGCCTTCGGTGGAGCTCCCTATGGAGCCACGAAACGTGTGAGGGGTGTGCCGAAATGGGTGTGGCTGACGCATGCGGGCGCGGGCACTGGGGCCTTCGGCGGAGCTCCCTATGGGCCACGAAACGTGTGAGGGGTGTGCCGAAATGGGTGTGGCTGACGCATGCGGGCGCGGGCACTGGGGCCTTCGGTGGAGCTCCCTATGGAGCCACGAAACGTGTGAGGGGTGTGCCGAAATGGGTGCGGTGGGCGCATGGGCGCGGCCACTGGGGCCTTCGGTGGAGCTCCCTATGGGGCCACGAAACGTGTGAGGGGTGTGCCGAAATGGGCGCGGTGGGCGCATGGGAGCGCAGCCACTGGGGCCTTCGCTGGAGCTCCCCATGGGACCACGAAACGTGTGAGGGGTGTGCCGAAATGGGCGCGGTGGGCGCATGGGAGCGCAGCCACCGGGGCCTTCGCTGGAGCTCCCTATGGGGCCACGAAACGTGTGAGGGTGTGCAGAAATGGGCGCGGTGGGCGCATGGGAGCGCAGCCACTGGGGCCTTCGGTGGAGCTCCCTATGGGGCCACGAAACGTGTGAGGGGTGTGCCCATGGGGCGCAGCCACTGGGGCCTTCGTGGAGCTCCCTATGGGGCCACGAAACGTGTGAGGGGTGTGCCGAAATCTGTGCGGTGGGCGCATGGGAGCGCAGCCACTGGGGCCTTCGCTGGAGCTCCCTATGGGGCCACGAAACGTGTGAGGGGTGTGCCGAAATGGGTGCGGTGGGCGCATGGGAGCGCAGCCACTGGGGCCTTCGCTGGAGCTCCCTATGGGGCCACGAAACGTGTGAGGGGTGTGCCGAAATGGGTGCGGTGGGCGCATGGGAGCGCAGCCACTGGGGCCTTCGGTGGAGCTCCCTATGGGGCCACGAAACGTGTGAGGGGTGTGCCGAAGTGGGTGTGGCTGACGCATGCGGGCGGTGGCACTGAGGCCTTCGGTGGAGATCCCTATGGGGCCGCGAAACGTGTGACGGGTGATGATGGCGATGATGATGAGGGTGGTGATGATGACGTCGATGATGTCGATGATGATGATGATGATGATGATGGTGATACCGAAACGGTTGCACACGTTTCGTGGCCCCATGATGATGATGACGATGATGATGGTGATAATGACGATGATGATGATGATGATGATGATGATGATGATGATGATGATGATGATGATGATGATGATGATGATGATGATGATGGTGGTGGTGGTGATGATGATGATGATGGCAGGAGGGAGGGGGCAGCGGGAGGAGGAGTGAACGCGGGGCGCTGTCTTTTCAAAACGAGGACCCAGCACCACAGGATGGTTGGGAATGAATGTAGCTATGGACGTGCAAATGCGTATCCATATGTCATTGTACATGCAATGGTCTCGCTACCTATACAGATATATGTACACAGACAGGGCAACCGCTGGACAACCACAGGACAACCACGGGAGAACCACGGGACAACCACTGAAGAATCACTGAACAAACGCGTGACAATCACGGGAGAACCACAAGACAAACGTGGGACAATCACGCGTCAACCATGGGACAACCGCAAGACAACCACGGGCCAACCACGCGACAACACCGGCATTCCGCTTTCCTTGTCGATCAGCTTGACTATCATATTACTGGTATAACTACAAGGTCCGACATAAATACGTACATAAATAAAAACATACGTCTGTGGTACCTGTATATAGATATGTATATACAGATGTGCGTGTGTCATTAATTCTACGGACGGAACATCTGCAGGACCACTACGGGACAACCGCGGAACAACCACGGTAGGAACAACCACGGGACAGCCACGGGAAGAACAACCACGGGACAACCACCGAAGAACCACAGACAACCACAGGACAACCACAGGGACAACCACGCGACAACGGCGGGCGGGACAACCACGAGACAACCACGGGACAACCATGGAACAACCGCGGGACACACTACGGGCCCGACACGTGACAACCACGGGACAACCACAGGACAACCACGGGACAACCACGAGACAGCCGCGGGAAAACCCCAGGCACGCCACGGAAGCAAGACCGCGACTCCTTTGGCGTCACCTGGGCCTGGCTAGTGCGAGAACTCGCGATGCGTCGCCTCGCCCGCACGCACGGCAAGAACCACAACCGAAACCGATGCCCTGGTGAGTCGTTTCTACTTAGTCTGTCAAATTACCGGTATCGGCGTTGCTTTCTTCTCTGATGGACGTCGTGGTCGTCGTGGTCGTCCCTGGACCCCCGAAGTCGTGCTTGTTGCTGACAATGTGAACCCCCAGAAGTCCAGACCCCTTCCACGGGGCCAGCTGCTCATCCTGGGTCGTTTTTGTGACTGTCCAGGGCCCAGGGGGGCACCTGGGAAGCCCGAAACAGACGAAGACCTCCAGGCCCGCATCCCTGCCGGATCCCTATTCGTTATGCTAGGTCGGTGTCGTCGTCGTCAACCAAAGCTCGGGAGCGGCCAAGAGAGGGGCGTCCAAGAGGGGGCGGTGCAAATCATGGCCGGCGGCGTGCGCGCGGCCCAGGGGGGGGCCAGGGACGCAATGAAATAAGAAGGGGCGCCACGAAATCTGGGGAAATATCATGGCCCCCGCCATGATATCCAACCCCCCCTAGTCATCACCCCCCTCTCTGCCGCCCCCGAAAAACAAATTCGAGATCCGTCCCCAGCCCGCTCCCGGGAATCTGGCCAGCCTTTCGAGCCGAGCGCCCGGCCGTCGCGGCGAGAATCCCCAGAGACGCCCAGGGGCCTCCAAGACGAAGACGCCGACGGCGACGGAGACGGAGACGACGTCGTCGCCCTTCGTCGTCGCCGGCACGGCCTGCGCCATGCCCGCGCCCCGACAGGCGCCCCTCGGCCGCGCGCCCTCCTCGCCCTGGGGAAGGCAAAAGATACCAATGCGGTTAGGTCGGGCCTGTCCCCCGGCATGAGGATTCTGGACGAAGAATAAAAAATATACAAAAAACAATCAATCAAACAAACAAAAAAAAAAGACTATGTTTGCCCTGACTACTTCTCGACTGAAAAATGCCCGGACTATTTTTCGACTATTTTTGCATATTCCTCCTGTAGAGGGACAGGCCCGACTTAACAATACGGGCGCTCCCCAGACCTCTCCCACGAGGGAGCGTTCCGACCAGGACCTCCAGGCGAAGCCGGCCGTGGCGACGAGGCCCTCCCGAGAGGCCCCAAAAAAAGGGAAAGCGAGGCGAGGGCAGAGGTGTGGGCACCTTTAGGTCGGGCATGCCCTCCTCCTCCCCCTCCCCCCCCTCCCCCTCCCCCTCCTCCTCCTCCTCCTCCTCCTCCTCCTCCTCCTCCTCCTCCCCCCTCCTCCTCCTCCTCCTCCTCCCCCTTCGATCCTGGAGGGCAGGGCCCTTTTTGGAAAGCTGCCTCACACGGTGGCTCACGCGGGCCCCTCGCACGGCGCACAGGCGGATCTTGGACGAGAAATGAGAAACAGCCTCCATATAAGAAAAAAATATGCTAACGGAGCTCCCCACATAAAGATGTTACGGGGTTCCATTGCTTCTTGTCTGCGCTCTGGTGGGGCCTCCCTGGAGGGGTGGGAGGGGCACGAAACCTGATGAATAAGATGGTGTGCGAATACCCTGCCCGCTCTGGTGGGGCCTCCCTGGAGGGGTGGGAGGGGCACGAAACCTGATGAATAATATGGTGTGCGAATACCCTGCCCGCTCTGGTGGGGCCTCCCTGGAGGGGTGGGAGGGGCACGAAACCTGATAAACAAGTGGCACGCGTGCCCTGGCTCTTGCACAAAGGTGTCCGAGGCTCAGGGGGGCTGCCCTGGGAAGCCTGGGCGGGGGGGGGGGGGGGGGGGCAGGGGACGAACGAACGACACGACACGACACGAAAATAAAGATGTCTGAGCTCTAGAGCACAGCTGTGCAAGAGAATAAAGATGTCCGAGCTCTAGAGCACAGCTGTGCAAGAGAATCAAGGTGTCCGAGACCCAGGGGGGCTGGGGGACGAACGAGACGACACGACACGAAAATAAAGGCGTCCGAGGCCCAGGGGGGCTGCCCTGGGGAGCGTGGAAAGGAAAGGCAGGGGGACGAACGACACGACACGACACGAAAATAAAGATGTCTGAGCTCTAGAGCACAGCTGTGCAAGAGAATAAAGATGTCCGAGCTCTAGAGCACAGCTGTGCAAGAGAATCAAAGTGTCCGAGACCCAGGGGGGCTGGGGGACGAACGAGACGACACGACACGAAAATAAAGGTGTCCGAGGCTCAGGGGGGCTGCCCTGGGAAGCCTGGACGGGGGGGGGGGCAGGGGGGGTGCAGGGGGACGAACGGACCCGACACGACAAACGAAAACAATGGGACATCTGCCCTGGCTCTTGCACAAAGGAGCTGCTGGAGACAGGAAGCTTTCGCCTCCTTCCTCCAGGAGTTCACTTTTTGTGGCCAGGGCCAGGGGGGGGGAGGCTGGGTCCAGGACACCAGGGCCAGCGGGGCCAGGGAGGCCAGGACCAGGACCAGTGGCTCCCCAAGAGCCTGGGAAGCCTGGGCGGGGATGGGGCAGGGGGGGGGGGGCAGGGGGACGAACGACACGACACGACACGAAAATAAAGGTGTCCGAGGCCCAGAGGGGCTGCCCTGGGAAGCCTGGACGGGAGGCCCAGGGGGGCTGCCCTGGGGAGCCTGGACGGGGGGGGGCAGGGGGGGGCCAGGGGGACGAACGACACGACACGACACGAAAATAAAGATGTCCGAGCTCACTCTGACTGTCGGAGCTCTAGACAAGCTGTGCAAGAGAATAAAAGATGTCCGAGCCTCTAGAGACAACAGACAGTGCAAGAGAAAAAAGATGTCCGAGCTCCAGGGGGCACAAGCCCTGGGAAAGCCTGGACACGGGTGGTGGGCAGAAAGGGCGAGGGCAAGGGGGAGGGAACGAACACGACACGACACGAAAACAAGTGGCACGCGTGCCCTGGCTCTTGCACAAAGGTGTCCGAAGCTCAGGGGGGCTGCCCTGGGAAGCCTGGGCGGGGGGGGCAGAGGGGGGGGGCAGGGGGACGAACGACACGACACGACACGACACGAAAATAAAAGTTGCCAGGGGGGGGCTACCCTGCGGAACAGCGGGGACAACAGAGGGGGGGGGGGACCGAACGACACGACGAACGACGAAAATAAAGGGTTCCGTGGCCCAGGGGCGCTACCCTGGGAAGCGTGGACAGGGGGGGGGGGCGAGGGGGACGAACGACACGACGAACGACGAAAA